GTTTCCCCTTCATAGATTGCTTCAAATCTTGTGTTTCCACTGATTTTGGTACTTGGGTAACTTGCGATTCACCTTATGATAGTTCGGTGATGTTTCCCCTTCATAGATTGCTTCAAATCTTGTGTTTCCACTGATTTTGGTACTTGGGTGAGTTGCGATTCACCTTGTGATTGTTCGGTGATGTTTCCCCTTCGTAGATTGTTTCAAGTCTTGTGTTTCCACTGATTTTGGTACTTCGGTAAGTTGCGATTCACCTTGTGATAGTTCGGTGATGTTTCCCCTTCATAGATTGACTTCAAATCTTGTGTTTCCACTAATTTTGGTACTTGGGTAAGTTGCGATTCACCTTGTGATAGTTCGATGATGTTTCCCCTTCATAGATTGCTTCAAATCTTGTGTTTTCACTGACTTGGGTACTTGGGTAAGTTGCGATTCACCTTGTGATAGTTCGGTGATGTTTCCTCTTCATAGATTACTTCAAATCTTGAGTTTTTCACGGACTTTGATGCATGTCTAAATTGCGAATTACCTTGGGGTGCTTCGGTGAACTTTCCGCTGGATTAAGGTGCTCTCAAAAGTTGTGCAGTCCGTCTTTACCCCCTGCTGTACCCAGTGACATTCGGTGTCTGTATGTGTGAGTGGTGCAGTCCCCGGTAACTTGTGCAGTCCGTCTTTACCCCTTGTTGTACCCAGTGACAATCGGTGTGTGTATGTGTGAGTGTTGCAGTCCCCGGTAACTTGTCCATTCCGTCGTTACCCCTTGCCGTACCCAGTGACATTCGGTGTTTGTATGTGTGAATGTTGCAGTCCCCGGTAACTTGTGCAGTCCATTTTTTACCCCTTGTTGTACCCAGTGATATTTGGTGTGTGTATGTGTGAGTGCTGCAGTCCCTGGTAACTTGTGCGGTCCATCTTTACCCCTTGCTGTACACAGTAACATTCAGTGTGGATATGTGTGAATGTTGCAGTTCCCGACAACTTGTGCAGTCCACCTTTACCCCTGGCTGTACCCAGGAACATTCGGAGTATGTGTGTGTGTGTGTGTGAGTGTGTGTGGGCTGCAGTTCGATCCCTTCCCCATTCTTGCTGTAACCGGTGACTTCCGAAAGTGATATGGGGGAGTCAGGCACCCGAAGTAGAAAACGGAGGCACGGGGCTAGGAGTTAGGATACGTCCAACGGGCCTTCTTTCACGTCGATCCCCCATAACCGAACCACCCAAACCCTTTTCCCTTCTCCATCACTCACACCCGTCCACCATGGCCGGACCACCCCAACCCTTCTCCCTCCTCCATCACTCACACCCATCCACCATAGCCGACCACCCCCAACCCTTCTTCCTCCTCCGTCACCCACACCCGTCCACCATAGCCAACCACCCCCAACCCTTTTTCTTCCTCCATCCCCCACACCCGTCCACCATAGCCTACCACCTCCAACCCGTCTTCTTCCTTCATCACCCACACCCGTCCACCATAGCCGATTACCCCCAACGCTCCTTCCTCCTCCGTCACCCACAACCGTCCATTATAGCCAACCACCCCCAACCCTTCTTCTTCCTTCATCCCCCACAACCGTCCACTATAGCCAACCACCTCCAATCCTTCTTCTTCCTTTATCACCTACACCCGTCCACCATAGCCGACCACCTCCAACCCTTCTTCTTCCTTCATCACCCACACCCGTCCACCATAGCCAACCACCTTCAACCCTCCTTCCTCCTCCGTCACCCACACCCGTCCACCATAGCCGACCACCTTCAACCCTTCTTCCCCCTCCATCACCCACGCCTGTCCGCCACAGCCAACCACCTCCAACCCTTCTTCTTCCTCAATCACCCACACCCGTCCACCATAGCCGACCACCTCCAACCCTTCTTTCTCCTGCTTCATCCACAACCGTCCACCATAGCYAACCACCTCCAACCCTTCTTCCTCCTCTTTCACCCACGCCCGTCCACCATATCCGACCACCTCGAACCCTTCCTCTTCCTCCATCACCCACACCCGTCCACCATAGCCGACCATCTCCAACCCTTCCCCTTCCTCCATCACCCACACCTGTCCACCATAGTCGGCCACTATCAACCCTCCTTCCTCCTCCTTTACCCATGCCCGTCCTCCGGAAGTCTTAGGGGGGCCGCAAGGGGGATGCACGGGACCTCGGATAGGATCGGCTAGGGTAAGTCAATTAGCAAGGTCGATTACGAGGGGAAGCTTCTTGTCTCTCTCTCTCTCTCTCTCTCTTTCTCTCTTTCTCTCTCTTTCTCTCTCTCTCTCTCTCTCTCTCTCTCTCTCTCTCTCTCTCTCTCNTCTCTCTCTCTCTCTCTCTCTCTCTCTCTCTCTCTCTCTCTCTCTCTCTCTCTCTCTCTCTCTCTCTCTCTCTCTCTCTCTTTCTCTCTTTCTCCTCCTCTCCCTCTCCCTCCGTCTTCGTCCTTTCCTCCTAAACCCTTTAACCCCTAACCCTTCGTCACCCCTTCCCCCTCCATGGCATGTGACTAACCTCTACCCTCACCTGTTACATTGGCAGGGAACGAACGGAAAGGAACTTAGTTCTCACTTGGTGGAAAGCGAGGGCAAGGGAAGGGCTGCCGGTCCCTTGTGCCACCAAGAAGGACAGGATACGGGATTATCGAGAGCATTTGCGAAAGCAAGAAGGAGTGTTGATTTTGGACGAGGTAAGTTTGACTCAACTATCCTCCCGGAATGCATGAGTGAGGCGATCGCATGGTTTGCCTGTGTGAAAGGGAGGGGAATTCGTAAGGGGAATTGAAAGGCAAAAGCGACTTAGGATTGCGGGAAGGGGCGAGGTGTTGACCCCAACGGGGATTGTACTTGGTCATTTGTCTTGTGTGGTCTTGCGCAGGTGAGTAGCTAAGGACGATTTGGACGGGGCTGGACTCGCGGAAGAGGACTAGCGTGGGAGATTGGCTAAGGAAGGACTTGGATCCGGCTTAAGCCATGGATGCGGGATGAGTTGAGGCCGGGCGCTTGAATGGATGGTTGATGCACGGACTTGGCTTGTGTGGAGGTTGCATGGAATGTCTCACTCTTGTGCAATGCGACCCCTGAAAAGACTAAGGGCGGTCTTGGATAGGTGATGCGATGCTAGTGGCTCTCGCAAAAAAAAATATAGCGGCTAGGGGTCTGGGCGACGCCGCCTTACCCCAAGGATGTCGCCGGGGCTGCCCAGAGCCGCTAGACTGAGTGAAAAGGTGCGTGGCCCAATGGATGACGCTTGGCCTGCGCATGATAAGAAGATGAGACTGAAATGAACTCCCTGGACTGCTTGTGTATTGGAAGGAGCAATTGCCTGGTCAGACTTAACCGAATCGAGAAAACGCCACGAGTGCCCAAAGAGCTACCATCTTGACGCGAGAGCGGTGTTACATCCCCCAATGTAAAGCCCTCTCGCAAAAAGGCCCATCCCCATCTATTTCATAGCACTAGGTGGGGGTGCCCCTGGGACGAGCGACCCTCGCCCTAGGCGTGAGCGTGGGCGGGTCGAGCCAAATGGGACCCGCAGTGGGGTCGACCGAGGCTCGAAAGTCCTACAGGGTAAGGCCCCTACAAAAATGGTGGAGATGCCGGGTATAGGGTTAAACTGACCCATACGGTCTCGAGGGGGGCGCCCGATGCATGACCACGAACGTAAATATGAAGAGAAGGAATGAGGACTTGTGTGTGCTTTATCCCTTTGAGCGAATCAGATTTGAGGGTGGCGGGGCACATAGCAAGGCCAGACCTGGAGGAAAAACATGCATGCTTGCACTTTTGATCAACCGTCTCCTTTGGATCCTTTGGAGATGACTCTAGTCCTCCTTCCCTTGGACTGATGTTCGTCAGGCCGGGGAAGCCTTGGGCAAGCCGCAGGTCGACCCTTCGTCTTCGTGCGAAAGAAGGGCTCCGGTTACCTGGCAGGTGATCGGGATTCCGGGCTAGTCCGGGTTCAGATGAAAATCCCGCGGCGGAGTGATCCGACCGGCCTAGGTGCCTTCTCTTCTCCTCTTCGGAAACCAGCGGGCTCTATGCACCACACTTAATGCTTGAAGGAACCTCATATGAACACAAAAGGTAATCGATAAGGAACAATCTTGCCCTATGAACGGACACGCAAGCGAAGATAAGGGAATGAAGGGAGTTGCTAGACTCCGAGGAAAACTAGCTCACCTTTGAAGATGCTCACGAGAAGGAACCGGACACTATGTATGGAAGTTAGGGGTGAGTGGCACGCACTGTCCCGAGAGAAAAATTGTGAGTTATGGGTAGGAGCGTTGGGTGCACCAGGGGAAAGGCACTTGTGATTATGTGTGTCCCACTTGGGACTTGTGATTGCATGACAAGGATTTCGAGCGTCCTGCCATTTGGAAGGAAAGGGGGGGTCTGCACCGGCCACTGCAGGTTACCAAACATCGTTTTCTTTGCAGACTGCTGTTTGTTCGTGTGCGGGGATCAGACCACCGAGCTGTCTAACGGGAGTTTGTTACGTCGAGTGCTTATTAGCGTTCTCGTCCGCGCGGTGACGGGCTTCGGCTCGATTGATCTGTCGGGCGGGGCGTGAAACGTTCCTTAGGCGCGGCCTAGCCTGTGGACTGGCGGAGGGAGTACCACTGCATGGGGGCAAAGACGGAGCCTGGGAGGCGATCAGTAGCTTCTCGTAGTCTGGTTTGGGAAAGGCTGTTCCTTATCGGACCGATGGTTGTGAGTGCCTGAACGGCTGGCTCCAATGGCCTACCGAGATGTGCGGGGTGATTCCCGAGATTAACGGTGGGTACACGAGCGGCAAGTCGGGATGGGGTATTTTGGGTAAGGAGGAAAGGTCGAACGCCTTGCCGAGACCTGGGTACCGCGCTCGCCACGGTTGAGCTGTGTTTGAGGTATGGGACAAAACCCTGCCAATAGTAACAGTGGAAAAACCACTTTGGGGAAAAGGCTGGTGAGGAGATGACCGGCCTGTGTGCGATGATTGCTTGGGTTTTCTTTTGTACCTCCCTCTGTAAAGTTGCTTGATGAATGTTGGATGGGGACCGAGTTTCTAGTCTATTCTCGACCCCTGCCTGAGTCTGCAGGAGTGAGAGAACATGAGGAAGAGGCTGGCTAGGAGTCAGAAGAAAGTGGAACCAAGAAAAAGGCATGCGAGCGACTGATGATCGATTGGGGGTATGGTAGGGCAATGGCGCCTGGAAAATGGATAGGAAAAGTTAGGGAGACCCGGATGAGGGGTTGAAAACAACTCTCATCTAGAAAAGGAAAAGGAAACCATCTGAACATGAGGGGCCGTGTGGTGCTCTCATGTGGAAAACAGGACAAGCGTCGGGAAACAAGATGGCGCGATGGTTGTCGCCTTCTGTCTACTATAGTGGTCCGGAAATGCCTATAGAGGTAAGGGATGGGGTATTTGTGGTTCTCCCGGAATAAGGGACGTGGACCGACCTAGAACCAACCTATAAAACTGTGATGCTGGACGAGAAGGACGCGTTCCTCTGGATAAAGACAATCTGGACTAAGGTCAGCTTGACGAGACTCTCACCTAGATTGATGGACCTAGAATTCCGAGGAACAGTGGACGTTCGAGGGTGGGTCTACCTGTCACAAGAATTGGAAAATGCAATGGTAGTGGGACTAGTATTGGGCACGACACCGGATCAGTTGTTTAGGCAAGCGGAACAGGAAGTGGTATGGGCACCATGTCAGCGGGCAGAAATGGAGATGGAAAGGATGAGGTGTGAGTGGAACTCGGGAACCGGAAAAACATAAGACGTCCCCTCAGGGCAATGAGGTGCGTGCTACCCCCGTTTCAGGTGGATGCGGTCTTTGGGACCAGGGATAGTCTGAAACAAATATGTCAATCGATGACACGCCTGAGGCTGTACCAATGTGCTAAACAGGACTTCTTTAGGTTGTCGGTGGAAGCAGGGCCGTTTGAAGGAAACTGGGCGGAAGAATTAGCTGAGATGTTTAACCACCTCAGCGCGGATGAAGTCTTTGTTCCTAGTCCGGTGTAGTTTGCCGAAATGTGGCGGCAGGGGAAACCTTCTTGGAAGGGGTGAAAGAGATGTTTTAGGTGAGGAGGAGGATTTCAGTGATGAGGAGGACGGGGACGGGATAGAGGACTGGGACTTCTGAAGGGGGGGGGCTTACCTGGGAGAAACGGGTTGTTGACTATGTGCAGGTAGGGAACCATGGCTCGGGAACTCGAATTATGGGGCTGCACATGGGAACCAAGACGAGTCGGAAGGGGAATAAAGATGTCAATACCGCCGAGCAACAAATGGAAGGGGACCACATGTGATTGGCGGGGGTATGACATTGTGCCGGAGCTATCGTACCTATGGATAGAGCGTGTTTGGAACCCGTTGAGGGAAGAGGAAGGATAGGAAGAGATTGCGGAAGGAAGGGTGGAATCAGTCGGGACGATCATTCTCTCTGAAGAAGGTTGGCACCTGTTCTGCACAACGCTCGCGGCAGGACAAAACCCAATGTGGCTTTTAGGGGACGCCGAGACAAGGGCTCGGCAAGCGGGAGAAAGGTTTGCTAATAAAGGTTGGGATACGATCAGCAGTAGAGTCGTGATGGGAGGATGGAAGGAATTTAAACCGCCTGGTGCCCGGATGAAGACCTGGGTGCCCGAGTTCGTGGCGGACTGGTTTGGGAGTTTTGATCACGTAACAGAGTTAGTCGGCATGATGGAGCGAATACACATAAACTGCGCATGGCTAGCAGGGGAGATCTATATGACGTCCTTGAAATACGGGCCCTTCCATGATGATAAAGCACGGGAAGTCCTTATCATTTTGGATATCGAAAGGAATGACTGACAGGAGGTGGCCCCGGAAACTAGGGAGGTCATAATCCGCCGTGAGGTAGCAGCAACACCTTGCTATATGGATGATGTGTTCAAACTGTTCGAGGTACTGTGGTTCGACTAAAAGCAAGAAAGCCGTTGGACCAGGCAAATAAGGGAAAAATTGCTAAGACAAGGGAATGGGATTTCTGGCCATTGTAGGGTTCAGTGCAGATTGCGAGCCAGGAGATCAAAGGCGAGTGCGTGATGGCGCAAAGAAGGACGTTCCTCGAGGAACACCCCTTGGGCATTGAGCCGCCTAGGGAAGTACCGGGTGGGGTAGAGGTTAGCTTGCCGGCGGCAAGTGAAGGCTA